ATTGCATTAAATGTGTAGATTGCTTTGGGTAGTATAGATATTTTAACAATATTTGTTCTTCCAACCATCAGTGTTTTATAGTTTTCAGAATACAGGTCTTTGATCTTTTTGGGTAGGTTTATTCCTAGGTATCTTATGGTTTCTGATGCAATTGTAAATGGGATTGATGCCTTTCAGTGTCTTTGCTGCTCATTACTAGTGTATAGAATATCATGTTGCCTGTGAATAGTGTAAATTTGACTCCTTCCTTGCTGATTTGGATGCCTTTTCTTTCTTTTTATTGTCTGATTGCTGTGGCTAGGATTTATAGTACTATATTAAATAGTGAGAGTGGACAGTCCTGTCTTGTTCCTGACTTTATAGAAAATGCTCTCAGTTTTTCCCCATTGAAGATGATAATGGTATTACTCCTGGGTTTTTCAAATATGGCCTTCATTATGTTGAGGTATGTTTCCTTCTAACCTACTCTTTATCATAGTCACCAACTAGACACAATGAAATTTGCATCAACAGTAATATGCATAAGCACATATTGTTACATTCTACGAGGCAATACCATATAGCATTGAAAAAGTCAAACTAGTGATATGCATTATTGGCATAAATAAATCTCATATATATATATACATATATGTAATATATATATATCCCACATATATAATATATCTCCCATATGTATAATATATATCTCATATATAGAATATATATGTCATATATGTATTTATATATATGTTATATATATTTATATATGTTATATATATATTTATATATTTACATATAAATATATAAATATATATATATAGCCAAAAAAGCTACGCACAAAAGATAACATCTCAGATCATTTAATTATTTCAAGTTTGTGTACAGCCGAGGCGATCTATCAAAATAAAAGTTAAAATATACGCTTAAATGGGAGGTGACTGATGACTTGATTTAGTAACAAAAAATTGACTTAGTAATTAAAATTGCTGCTTCCTTATAGCAGCTGGAAGTATTGCCTCTTACATCAGTCTCTCTCTCCATTCCGTCTCCATGATCTTGATTCTTTTGACCACTAGCTTTCTTTGCTTACTCATGTTATCTCCACTTCTGCATAAGAATTTAGTGTTCGTGGGGCGCCTGGGTGGCTCAGTTGGTTGAGCGTCTGACTTCGGCTCAGGTCATGATCTCATGGTCCATGAGTTCGAGCCCCGCGTCGGGCTCTGTGCTGACAACTCGGAGCCTGGAGCCTGCTTCAGTGTCTGTGTCCCCCTCTCCCTCTGCCCCTCCCCTACATATGCTCCATCTCTCTCTCTCTCTCTCGAAAATAAACAAACATTAAAAAAAAAAAAGAGTCTAGTGTTTTTCTGTGGCTTGAGGGGCATACCATGCTTGAGAGGTCATGTCCTAGGTGAATCTTCATGCTATGTCCTGTAGTCATCTAATATACTTTATCAGTCATAACCTAAATTCTAAATTTTTAGGAGAGAATAACATTAGCTAATTTTATCCAGGTGCCTGTTTTGGGCCCAGTCTTAAGTAATGAGGATTGAGTAGTTGGATAATTAAATATGCTTCCACTAAGACACGTGAGTTAAACAGTTGTGGTGTATTTGTTTTGTTTAATCTTTTTATGTTTTTTTTGAGAGGGGGAAGAAAGAGAGTGGGAGGGAGACAATCTCAAGCAGGCTCTATGCCCAGTGTGGAGTCCAAGGCAGGGCTCAATCTCAAGACCTTGGGACCGTGACCTGAGCCAAAATCAAGAGTCCCACGCTCAACTGACTGAGCCACCCAGGTGTCTGTTTTATTCCAAGAAGAGACATAGGATTGAGAAGAATGAGTTGAGATACGTGTTGTGCTTGCTACTTCTGTGGGTGATTGAAATAAAGTGAACAGTTACAGTGACTCTCAAGAGTTTTGTTCTCACCCAATCTTAAATTTATTGATACCTCCAGAGCTTTTGTTTATATGGATTGTATGTATGAATATTGTCCATGTAAGAAACTAAAAGTAAGAATAAAGAAGTATCTATATCCCTAAAATAACAACTCATTGCATATTTGCATGCCGAATTTTATGAAAAACTGTATTTTCAAAACCAAAAAAAAATTGAAAAATAGCATTGTTGTACATTTTTGCAGCTCTCTTTAATGTCTGACTTAGTTGAGGGCAATCATTGCACACTTGTTTTTATGCTTTCGGTTTGTTGCAGTAGCACCTGTCTTAGAGTCTCTGGAAGATTCCACCGTGCGCTACAGAGGGAATGAAGTGAAACAGGAACATAACAACTTAGCCATGTTAAGAAAATAGTATTGGTCCCCTAGACCCCTTGATGGAATCTCCAGCACCCCCGTGATTTCCTGAACACCACTGAGATCTACTCATGTACTAGACGGAGGATACACTGAAGTTCAAATTCCAGTTGAATCACTTATGGTTTTGTCTCTCTGGTACATATTTTCTTCACCTGCCCCATGGTGCTTTTAGTACCTTCCGGAATTAGTGGGAAACGCTTTTAAGATGACATAAAATAACATGAAATTATTTATTCCTACTAATAATGACACTGGTCATAGAGTTCCTCTTTTGTGGACCCTTCACTGCACCTCAGGCTTTGCTAGATTTGTTTGACATGGATTAACTCCCAGTACGTCTGTGAATAAAATTTCAGCTCGAGTTCCATTTCGTAGTTCCATTCCATATACAGAGCTGATGCAAAAATATTAACTAAGATATCACAGCTAGTCAGTAAAAGATAGGATTCGGGCATTCTAATGCCAGAACTCTGGTTCTTTGTATGCTCTTTGGCAATTAAGACATAAACAACAAACTTTGTTTCTTAACTGACACGTTTTCCTCTAATATAACCTAATATGTTATATTTATTTATTTTTTTATTTAATCTAGTTAAGATCAATAATGATCCCAATTTTCTATCCTTCTTGGACTCATATGTAAAGCACATTACAGATTTACTGCCCCTTTTTAAGCAACATGCCTTATGCAGCTCTACTTTGCTTGATACAATACTAATACTTCAACAGGGTTTCAAATGAACTGGATGTTGGGGCACCTGGGTGGCTCAGTTGGTTAAGTGTCCGACTTTGGCTCAGGTCATGATCTCGCAGTTCGTGGGTTCAAACCCCGCATCAGGCTCTGTGCTGACAGCTCGGAGTTTAGAGCCTGCTTTGGATTCTGTGTCTCCCTCTCCCTCTGCCTCTCCTCAGCTCGCTCGCTCGCTTGCTCTCCCTCTCTCTGTCTCAAAAATGAATAAAAACATTAAAAAATATTTAAAAGATAAAAAAAATAAAATGAACTGGATGCCATACAGATTTCATGTTCGCAACAACCTTCTGAAGAACGTGCTATTTTTATAAACTTTTACAAGTGAAGATGAAGGGATTGGAAATTAAGCCACTTTGGCATCTCCCAGGGATAGAACTAGAATTTGAGCTGAGGTATTCTAGCACCAAAGTTCATTCACGTTACCACTTGAATTATAATCACTAAATCTTCTCTGTTTACCTGTAATATTGTAGAAAGTAGGGCAAAAATGTAGTATAAATTTATAGCTCTTTAGTGATACTTTATTATTTAATTGAACTGCTACCACATCTCAAAATGACACAGCAAAAAAATGTTGATGATATGTTGATAATGTCAATAATAAATGTTGATATATCATCTTGATAATATGTGGCAGCAACTGCAAGCTGTCCCCTTCCCACTTTGCTTTCAATGGTCAGTTGTCTGTAGATGATGTGATTTAATGACATTGTTGTCCTATATTTGGTTAAATTGAGCTGCATTAGTACTAATGATAACAATAGCAATAGCAATATCAATAATATAATAATAATAATAATAATAATAATAATAATAATCACAATAATAAATGAATCCAGAGCAAGGAAGGGGAGAGAAGAAGGGAGGGTAGATTGGCTGGACTGTTCAAAAAAGAAAAAAAACAAAAAAGTGAAACCTAGGACACCCAGGTGGCTCAGTTGGTTAAGCCTCGACTCCAGTTCAGGTCATGATCTAGTGGTCCATGGGTTCGAGCCCCTCATTGGGCTCTGTGCTGACAGCTCAGAGCCTGGAGCCTGCTTTGGGTTCTGTGTCTCCCTCTCCCTCTGCTCCTCCCAATGCCTACTCACACACTCTCTCTTCCCTTCTTTCTCAAAAATAAACATAGAAAAATGTGTTTTTAATTAAAAGAAAGTTAATCAGGGGCGCCTGGGTGGCGCAGTCGGTTAAGCGTCCGACTTCAGCCAGGTCACGATCTCGCGGTCCGGGAGTTCGAGCCCCGCGTCGGGCTCTGGGCTGATGGCTCGGAGCCTGGAGC